TTTTTTTAAGATTGAGATGTGATGACAAAGGAAAACAGATGTTGTTTTATTATTAAAATATCCTACACTGCTCTCTACTGGAAGAGTGGGAGTCTACATTATATATTTGGAAGTACACCTAAAACTATTTCTTAATCAAGAGCCAAGTTTATTAATTCTTTTTTACTCTAGTAAAGCTAATTTTTCCGAAGCATGGATAGAGGTTTTTTCACCTGTAAGTTTTGAAGAACAGCACCTGGATGTGCTTTGCATGTAAAGCCAATAAAATATTGAGGGTCAAAATCTAAGCTGCCAGGGAAAGAATTACTGGAGAGTTTCCTGCTAATGTCAAGGGAAAAAAGTGCACAGCTAACCTTAACAATTTACCTGGCCTTACTAAGAGCTGTTGGGCACATCAAACAGCAGCAGACTTGTCACACACATAAGGGTTTCTGAATGCCTGAAGTTGTCTTACATTTGAATTGGCTTTTAATTGAGCCAGCAAAGCAAAAGATTATTTACCTTTATATAGCTTCTCCAGCCAAAGTACAACTCTAAAAGCAATTTTAATAATTTCACAATGGAATTGGACCAAAAAAAAGTCTTGTTCATGTTAATTCATAGGGAAATGTCACCTACATTCTGACAAAAATATTCCCCACAAAGGGTCTGTCTGACAGCTTGTTGTGTAAGACAGCCCTCCTGGCCATTACAGGGCTGAATTTTCTCTCAGTGATACAACCTCTGTTGATTTAATATATTGAAATAGTGTCTATTAATTCTTTGCAGGTGCGTTATCTTGCAAGTCTTTGCATGTGGAATGAACACATCTGGTTGTCTGCTAATATTAGATTAGAAACAGTTTGATCTGAGCTGTTTGTCTTGTATGTGGCTGGCCAACAGCTCACTTTCTTCATGGCAAACATCAGTGTATGTTAAAGGAACTCTTAAATGGTTCTGAGTGATAGGATCTCTTGGCCTCATAAGAGTTATTTCTGATTGCAGACAGCTGCAAGTGAAATGAGAACTAGTAATATATTAGGAAAATAACTGCTCGTCAGTTTTCTAGGGAATTTGTTTGGAAGAATGGCAGACTGCAGTGAAGAATGTGTGGTAAAGAAAATTGCTTTAGCTTGCTATGCTATACAAAATATTAAATGTGATCTTCCAACTTTTTCAAGTATCCAATGAAAATTCAGTATGATCATGAACTTATTCTTATACTAAACAATACATAAATATTTGATTCTAGTGGCATGCCTAAATTATGTATTGTGTCTCTTTGAATAGGCATATTATGCATGGAGTACAGCAGCCTCAAGAATAATCTTTTTGCTAGTTGCAGACAGTAAATAGATGTAGAAGTCATGTGTAAACATTTTTCAGCTGTATTATGTATGTGTAGACGTTACTTATGTAAAGAGCACTTAAGCATTTAATGCGTTTATTAGTTTGCATTTAGGATTAATAGTGAATGATCTGAAGGGAAACTGTTATTTTCTGTTTCCCTCCTCTGCAGTGAAGTGTAAGAGTTGTGTTATTTTGACTCTGAGGAACCACTTTGGTTTCATATGCTCATTTTCCTGCATGAGTCAAGCTGCAGAAGGGAACCTCAAATGCTGAAAACAAACACTGACCTGCCAAAGTTCCCATCTAAAATTCTGGATCAGTACTGCTTCCTAAAGGAGCCTGGGCTTGAAAAGGGAGGTTTCACATTTGCCCCTTTTGCTTTGAATTTTTCACTGCAGAAACTCTTCCATGCTGAATAATTGTATTATTTATGCCACTGGACCAACCTCCTGATATAACAAATATGTGTTTGTGTGTGATGTGGTGGGAAAAATCTGCTGAAAAGACCATGATGAGATGGCCACCTCCCCATTTCATGAGGGTGGCGAGTTAGTTGTCAGTGGCTCCCCTAGAAACCCTGGTGGCAGCGTGTGCCAGGGATTGTACAAACGGCATGGTGACCTTGGCAGCTGAAGCCCCAGCTTTGCAAATACATCTGTTTGCTTGGCTTAACTATTGTGAGTAATACCACAGTAATTGGTACCTAATATTAAACGGAGAGTGATGATAGATGAGATGGAAAAGGTACAGGGCAGATGAAAGAGCAAGCAATAAAAAGCCTCCCATTACAACATCATCTGTTTGTTAAGCCTTTATTGCATAGTCATTCTTTTGTTACAAACCTGTCTTGGTCTGAAATTCTGTCTATATTTTTCCCCAAACAGAACAGTTCAATTAATACAAATATTCAGAATATTTCCCCTTAATTGCTGGTTTTCTTTTTATTACTCTTACCAAGAAGTTAAGAAGGGAGGTCAAGCATGAAATGTGTAAGCAATTTGAACACATCTGAATTTTAAAAAAGTACAATTGCAATTAAAAGTTAGAAATAGATACAAACAGTGCAATCCATAGTATATCCTTGTAATTTTTCTTGGTATTAGCACTTAAGCTACAATCTTGTTCATATATCTGGATTAAACATGTCTTACTATATTTTCCTATGCTTAATAGTTTATTATGCACATGCTTGAATGCCACATTCAGTTCAAAACTGCTGAGAGCAATAGAAATTTCCGTGGTGATGCTTAGTGTCAAAACCAACACTCATGTGGAAGAGAGTGTATGGCTTATGGAATTCTGGTGGGTTATGTTCCATAAATGCTGATACAAGACTCATGGTGTTTCTATATTCTTGGTTGTTTATTTCTTTTCTTACTTGCTGGGCAAACACAATGAATTTTTTCTTCAGGTTTTGTCGGTCTTTTAAAGTGCTTTCAGCAGTTTATCTTTCTGTTTAGACATCTCCCTTCTCTCCATGATCATAAATGGTAATTTCTGGTTTGGGGAACATTACTATGAGCTTTAAAATTCAGTGACATTTAACAGACTTCCCAGCTGTGGCAGAAGCTTAATTTGATGCTTACATTTTCTGAGGCAGTAATGTGAATTAGCATGAGGTACAAGCCTCTGGGAAAACTGTATTTGTGGAAGATACTGTTTGTGGAAAGATTGGTCTGCTGCTGGGATTTACTGTATGCAGCAAAGATACCTTCATCCTTCTTGAACTGTGAAGCAGGGGAGAGAGCTGGGAGGTGAGTTATGGGGAAATGATTGTTTCTTTCTTAGCTTTATCAGAGCTCGGCCATCTGGATGGGAATAAGTAAATAAAAGATGTAGGGCAGCCCTGTGCCCTTCTGGAGAGGCAGCATAACCTGGAGCATCTTTGTGTGCATGACCCAGTTCCACCTGGGGCCTGGCCCTAAATCTGTATTGAGAATTACTGGGCTGCTTACACTGATACTGGTACTGCCAGTTTGAAAACAGCACAAGGATTAGGATACAGCCATGGATGAAGCATGTGTCCCAGCTGGCAGCTTCTCCATGGGCAGCAGTGACCTGGGCTCTGCTCGTTGAGCCTTGCCCACACCTGCAGCTCTTGTTTCCTGTGTTTCTGCTGGATTCCTGCTCTGGGAATCACGTACCTTGAGCTGCTCACAAACTTACAGCATTTTTACTTCTGCCTCTTGTGTTCTGCCTGGAGTGGTGCATATAAGTGTGCTTGTGTGCAGATATCTGCTACTGTTGGTGTTTCAACCTTCCTCTGAGACTCTCATCTGATCTTACCTACTGGTTTGGGGGTTTTTTGCTCATATATTCACTCATTTTTCCCTTTCTGTCTCTGACACGTGCAGTGTCCATCACATCCAAGAATCATTCTTCCTTCTGCACGTGCATTTTGTGCAGCTATCACTTTTCCAGCCAAGATCACCCCCTCAGTCTAAAGTCATTGGAGATGTTGCATGAAAGTCATCAAATCAATAGTAGAGCCTTCTGCTCTGTTATTCCAAACCCTCAGTCTCCTGGCTGGAGAATGGTAATAAAGAGGAATATTGGCAGCAGATGTGTGTGGTGTTTTGATTCACACCCCAATTTCAAGGTGGCACATTGCATTTCAGAGTCAGTAGCAAATGTCTAATGAGGCTTCATTACTGGTGGAGCTGCACAGTTTCTTTGCAGGAGTACCTTGAGTGCACTGACTACACTGAACACGTTTGGAACGTTCAATAGAACTAAAAAAATTGTCTGTATCTTGGCAAATTTAAATTCCTTTCAAAATGACTAGGACTTAAAAATTGTACACACCTCTTTGTGTCATGGTACACAGAAAACTGTACTTTGGGGAAAAAAAAGAGGTTTTTTTTTTTTTTTTCCTAGCATTATTTCAGCATAGACATGTACATGGTGTGACTTAACTGTACTTCAGTCTGAAAACTGGGCAATAAAAAATCAATTAGTGTATTACACAGATGGGTTTTAGGCAGGATTGTCATACCTTTTCTAATAGTGCAGTAAAGGCAAGTGTGACTGTACAGAAAATAAAAGCATTTCAGTGTACAAATAAAGAAATAAGGTCCCTTTGCAATATTATGCTTTATATATGAAAAGACATATGTTTGGTTTTTATTAAAACCTTACTTGGTAAAAATATGAATTGTAATAGAAGCTACTTGAATATGACTCTTGTTTTACCTAAGTTGGAGCCTAGTTCCTTTAAATCTATGAAGTTATTATACCAAGCAACTCTGAGAGAAAAATCAGTTATTTTAATTTATCTTATATCTTTTATTAATTTTTTAGTGACGTAGTCCAAATGATTGGCTTGTGTCAATTAATGGGAAGTATCCTCCATCTGTATTTTGTATGCATTTTTCCATTATTTTCTTAAGAGTTATTGCCAAAGTGGTAATTTCCCTGTGGGAAAAGGTACTTGAACCTCTAATTTACAGATTTGTGTAGGATTTTTTTAAAGTCAATTTTGATAATGCTAATATTAGTACAGAATTGAATTCTTGTTAATTTCATGATTAGAAATAGCTGCATGAAGGCTTTTTATTTATCAACTACTGAAACAATTACCTTTCCAAAATGCTGTTTGAAAATAATTGGAAAATAAGATTACTAAAGTTGATTAGGCCTTTAAATGCATAAATGACTGCTCATCTTTTCAGTTTCTAGGCAGTACGGAAGTGGAGCAGCCCAAAGGCACAGAAGTTGTAAGAGATGCTGTTAGAAAATTAAAGGTAAGAATTTTTAATGAAACATAAGTGGAATGTACTCTTTACCTCTCTTCACAACTAAGACACTTTGTAGGTCTTCTAGGTGAATTCACTGGCTCTAGAAGTAGTTGCTTTTACTAATCTCATTGATGTGTAGGCTCTTCTTTATTATGTCTGTGTGATCAGGTGTTCTGCTGTGTACAGTATTTAGTTGCCTTACAGATCATGCAATTACTCAGAAATATTTATAAAGTTAATGTACTTCAGTGGGTAGTCCTTCTTTTTCGATTTTTTTTTAGGACTTCATTAATACAAATGGAGGTAGCAAGAATTTGTTTTAGCTGCCACCCACCCCCACCTGTGGCTGAGAAAATCACACTTTTGCAGATTCCTCTTGGTTACGTGTGCTTGGGCACCAAGGGACTTGGTGGACAGCTAAAAATATCCGAGTGCAGTGACTTTTGGAGGGTTGTCTTCAGTTAATGTGGCTTTGCCTTGGCTGCTGAGGGTGAGCTGGTGAGCTCAGAGCTCTTCAGACACTGGAATTCTCATTGTCCCAGTCCACCCCACTGCCTTGCTCTGTGGAATTGCACTGCTTCATGCTTAGCTGCTCTGAGCCATTGGCACTTCAGTTTATTTAGATGTAGAAATCTTTTTCTCCCTGCTACTGCATTTTTCATAACAATTTTGCAGGCTTTTCATTATTCTTTTAAACGAGTTCCTTGGAAATGGGCAGGAAATGTGGGGAGTCAGTATTGAAAAAATTGTGTTATTACCATACTAAAGAAATGCAGAAAAGAAACATGAGGCTTCTCATGTAGCTCAGCTTTTCAGGCTCAGTTTTCCCTTGAGAAAGCCATCTTTACAAGATGGAACCTTATTAAGGTATTGAAATATATTCTTTGCTGTTGTTTTCACCCTACCAAAATAGCTGCCTTAAAAGATTCATTTAGTTGATTCTTGGAGTGTTTTGTGCCAAAAAGACTTTATTGTGCTGCAGTTAGTCATTCTTGCTTAGCTGTTTTCAAGTGTTTTAGGCTAAGTTTGGGCCTTTTTTAAGCATTGCAGCATTCCATCAATGTGTGGAAACAAAATGTTTGGGTTTGTGTGCACCTTGTGTAGTTTGTCTTTATAAAATTCCAGTCCCCCTAGCAAAGTTAGTTCTGTGCAGTGATATGTCACAGTGATCTCTTGCTATGGAGCAGCTGTGCTTCTGTTTTAATGGTGTTTTATTGGACTCCTGTGTAAAGCAAATGCTGAGTGTCTCACTCAGGCTGGCCTGGGCTCTCACTGATCACTGGAGGAGGCTTTGGGTGGGTTGAGTTCTATGATTTCACACATGGAAACAGTTCCCTCTGGGAGCAGCTCCAAGAAGGATTTCAAATAACTGCCCTCAGAAGTGTGGGCAGAGCCAGAAATGTTGTGTATATGTTAATGGTGTCACTGGAGGATGTAGATAACCTGCTCCAACTTTCTACACACATCCCCTAAGTAAACCAGCTTGGACATAGAAGTCTGAATAGGTCCTGCCAGAATTACATTATTTTCTTCGAGTTTGGAATTTTGGAGCTTAGATATCAAGTACTGCATGTGATCTTACATAATCACAAGTTTATTAGAGAACTTCCAGAGTAAATAAAGATGACTTTCGGAAGGACTTGAAAAATCTTGGAACAGAATGCAGAGAGCAACGAAAACACTTTTATGTTTGAAACAATCCTCAATTAATTGAATACTCATTTGAAGACTGACTTACATTGTGCATCTGTAGCCTTTGAAGAGAAGCCTGGAGGTACTGGATTTTTTTATTAAGCCCACATCTGTAGCTTGTTTTTAGAAAATGCTAATTGAAAATTTTTAAGCAATGAAAACAGCTTGAAAAACTTTCATATTGAAGAATTATAAAGTTGTTTGAGGGTAGTAGAGTTTTTAAAAGACCATGTAGTTTCTGATGCCATATTGATATTTTTAAATTATCTGAATTTGCTTTTAATTGCGATGTTATTAATCATAATTTGATTTTAATTAAAATTAATAGCTATCAGAAAAACAACTGACACTTTTCTACTGTTTAGAGCTATTTTTACAGGTGACATGCATCACTCTAATAAGCTTTTGAAGTCACATGCTTCAAGCAATACACAGACCGTGAAACACAGCCACCACAAAGCATTTTTCTTAAGCCCCCATGTCACCAAACTGTCAGAGTCAAGATTTGATATACAACTGTTTACTTCTCTAAATCAAAAGCCCTTAACTCAGCACAAAGGTTTGGGTTGCCCAGCACAGAAACTGCAACTGCCATTCCACAAACTGATTTTTCCCAGCAGATGGAGCTGATGTTCTACAGAAACATAAAATATCTTGGACAAACTTTTTTTGAGGCTTCGTTCTACTTTTATCCCAAATACGACTTTTACATTTTCCTGACAAGTTTTCTGGGACAGTTGCAATTAGAAGATATTTTTTTTTCAAGCAACTATGTTTAATTTTTCTAGAGGATTCTCCAATGGTTTTATCTACATGGGATTTCCCCTTGTGTTTTCCAAGTGCTTGGAGCTTTACTGCAGGACAAAGAAATTTGAACACTCATGTTTTACAATGTGTTTATTTATTTGTAAGATAAGGTGAACTATTATCACAATTTATTACAAACCATGTTTTCCTTCAGGTTTTCTAGTCAAAATTATTTCTAGAGTGAAACAAAAACTAAAGCACATGGCACCCAGATGCTGTATCCAAACATGCCTATGGTACTCAAATGTCTACATGTTGTCAAATCACACTTAATTTTATTGAGTGAAATGATTACTTTCCTTGATTAATGAGGTTTGTAACTTGTCGACCAGACTGTAAGAATGAATTTGATCCTTCTTATGAAGTGTAAGAAGGGTTGCCAGAGGTGGGAACAGGTAGAAGGAACAGCGTGACAGATGGAAGGAGCAGCATAACCAGAGCAGAAAGCTGCATGGAGGAATGTTAGGGAGAAACCAGAATAAACACCTGAGTTTTGGGCTGTTTCTTCTACATTCTTCCAAGGGATGTTTTTTTGAGGGCCAAACTTAAGGCTTTCAATTTGTTATCCTTTTTATCTTCTGCTTTTCTTCTGTAAGTGGAGATGACCAGACAAAACGCAAATAGAATGAATCACTTTGAAACAACTTGAAATTTTCATCATGTCCTTGACCTCTAAGGATACACAAAGTGAAGAGTGCTTGTTCACACACTTCCACACATGCAGGAATGCTGTCCTGCTGCTGCCCTTAAAGGACCATCCGTGGATATTGTTCTGAGCTCTCTTCCCTATTAAAGCTCAGTTTCATTTGCTGTTGAAAGGGCAGAGGAGGGTGGAGTACAGAGAAGCTTTTGATACTGAGATAGATTTGCAGCCAAGCCTTCCAGCCATGACTGCTCTCTTTGAAGTACTGCAGAAAGTGGGATTTGTGGTTCAGGACCAGTCAAGGACATCCTGAAGACCAAAGCAAGTCAGATGAAAAAAGCTGAATAAGAAAATACCTGTTTACCTTGCCTCTCAAAAAAACTAAAATTAAACCCTGCCCTCGCCCACCACCCCCCGTAAAAAAAAAACAACAACCAAACCAACCAAACAGAAAAAAAAAATCAAAACCTCACCAACAAAACACCCCAACAAATCCCCAAAACTCCATGCCACCAGACAAAATAACCAAAAGGACTCAAAACACCAACAACAAAGCAGCCCACCCCCAAATAAAATAAAATAAAAAAATCTGTCAGGAAGCTATAGATGGAAAAAAGACTGCACTGTATTGTCTTCTACACTGTGGATCATAGATTGGTAGCCCTCCTCTCAGCCCAGTGTGTATCTGGAAAATAAAATACAACCTGTTCCACAGAAATGTACTTCTGGATGGCTTTTTCCCTACTTTTATGATTATTGAGAGATTGATTTTTGCATATCAGTGGCCTTTTCATCCTTTTCCTCCTCATGACAGCTATTTTTCAGAGGCCATAATTTCAATATGTACACATCAAATGTCCATGAGAGTTTGGACCATAATGGTGACATGAAGGCACTGAAAAAAAAAAAAAAAACACAATGAAAATGGGGCATGTTGGGTTTTTTTCAGACATGTTTCCTTACAGTGAATGTTGTAATGAAAAATGGAGGAAAAACATCTTCCCCAAGACAGGTTACAGAGATGTTTCCCAGCTTATCCAATGGCCCTGCCCTAAACCAGGGCTCTCTTAAAGTGTGAAGTGCAATGTCTCATTTGTCACTGGTCGCCTGCATTAAATGAAGGAGTTGAACCTCTCTTCCCTGGGATGAAGATTAGCACCCAAATAGCAGGAACATCTCCCTTTTGATGTCTCAACTATTTTTAATTAAATCTTGAATCGTGCAGGGAGGTGTAAATATTAAAGAGAAGCACACAGTTTTGATTGCATGGCTTAAATTGATTTATAGATATATAGAAATAATTGGTCTTAACAATTAATTCTTTAGCTCCAGTTCCTGGCTCTCTTGAAAACATGTTTTTTTTTTTTTCTCATGGCATTTTTGCTGATTGTGGTTTGCTAAGACTTGATGCTTAAACACATCAAATTTAATTTCAATAAGACTCCTAGAGTACGCATTTTCCCCTGCTGCTGGGATGTTACAAAATATACGAGTGGTTTTTTTTATATTTTTAAAGCTAAGTTAAACTGTAGAAAATAGTTTTATTTGTATCTGTTCCTTTTCCTAAAAAATGCAATGAAAATATAATGTCAATTCTGAAGCAGTTGAACACAAACTAGCCCATCCCACTGAGCTGGACCAAACCTGGGGTTCGTGCCTGAGAAAATTATATGTATAAACTCACAGTTTAAGAATTTGGCCTGTCGTGTCTCTTCCCAATCCATGCTGTGATTCATTATAATTTTATATCATTTTCCATTTTAATGCCAATGGGAGGCTGCAGATTTTTACCTTCTTAAATAATCTTGTTACTGTGTGAGATACAAATATTATTACTTGGTTTTAAATGTGTGCTGATAGGAAGATATAATGTTTGTACATCTCCCAGGTCCAGAGGTCCCTTGGTAGAAGGAGTGACTAGAAATAAATAAGAGAGTAAGTTCCTGATACCTCAGTGGTGGGATGTGCTGTTCAAACCCTGCACGAGTTTTGAGAGGTGGCTGAATGTGGCATTCTGGAAAATGTCAGATATAAAAGAAATTGCTGATCAGTATCTGTGTGTTATCTGTTATTGCACAGGGGCAGGAAAAATACTAAGCAAGGCACTGCTACAGCTTTTCCAATTAATCTTTGTGTGCTGTTGACTGTACACAGTAAACCTTTGATTAAAAAGCTCATTTGTCTGGATGTCTGTGTGGAAGAGCTTCTTTTGTGATTGGTTTCTTTCACCACTGGCCTGGCTTTGATATTTTATGGAGCTTCTTAAAGTGGGTTTTCCAGCCCTCTGCTAACTTTGGTAAATCTCCTGTGATTTTTTTTCTCCACTTTTGTCAACATCCTTCTGCATTTGAAACCCTCAGCAGATAACATTTGAGTATTTTCTCACAAGCAGCTGATGCAGTGTGGCCACTGTTGTCATCTTAAGGATTTCTTTGAAATACCTTCCCAGTTGTGGTTTCATGGGAAGGTCGTCAGTTAGTGGAAGTTTTACTATATTATCAAGATTTCATTTTTCCACCCTCACAGGATAGTCTTCCAAGAACCAAAGTTAGTTGCCATGTGTGGGATTTTGCAGGGTTGCTTGTAGGAAAACAGCAGGCTCTGTTGGGATACCAGTCTGTGGTGTTCTGGTTAGTGATGTTCTCTCTGTTATTTACCCCTTCCTCAGTCTTTGTGCTCTGCAAGCTTCTTCTGTAACCATTTTAGATTTCAGATCATTTGTTAGTTTTCTCCCCTTTTTTTCCCCCTTTTATTTTTTCTGCCTGCAGATTTTATCAGTAATTATTTTTCTCCTGGTCATTGTTCAATAATGTCATGCTTAAGAAATAAACCCTGCTGGAATACATTAGAAACATATCTTCCCAATGACAATTTCCTGTTTATAACTACATCTGGAGACTAATGTAACTAACTTAACTCATACTTTCTTTCTATTGCTTCATTTTCTTAAATATAATGGCATACAAAATGCAGATGCTTTGTCTACTTGGATAAGTTGCATTTTTTGTAAAATATTGGTCATCGTTAATTTAATCTCACTTGAATTATCTAGTTCTTGAACTGGATTTGTGGTTTTTGAGAGTGGAGATGTGGTAGGGTCAGTTTGTTCACCCTTTTTTTAGAATTGGCACAGAACTGCCTTCTGGAACTTCCTCAGTGTTGTAAGTCTTCTTGACTACTTGGAGCAAGCTTTGGTCAGCTGTTCTAAAACTTGTGCAAGTTATTCACATCACTTACTTTAAAATCTTCCTCTTTAAAACTTCTTTTATTTAAATACTGCAACTTTTTCATGTTGTAGCTGTTGTTTGAGACTCAGATGATTGCTGTTGGAAAATCAGGCATTCCATCACCATTTTCAATACATACTGTGAATTTAATGCAGTAAAATCAAATATTATTTGTGCTTTCTCCTCCCTACTGCACAGAAATACTTGTGCATGGCTTGTATGCAAAGGGACGTTTCCAAAAGGTCAGGATTTGTTCCAGGCTGTTTCAAGCTGAGTTGTGGCCCAGGGTTATCTGTTCCATGGGTGTCTTTCTGGGCACCAGTGGGAATTGAGTTGTCCAAACTGTCCAGGTGATCCTTGGATTTTGTGGTCATTACATTTAAGCTTGCAAAGTGCAGAGTACTGAGAAAAGGGATCACACACGTCCTCAAAGTCCCACCCAATGAAGGGACATCAGGAAATTGCAAATCAGAGAGGAAAGCTGGTGGAGTGCAGCTAATGAATAAATGCATGATCTGAAAATTATCTGAAGACACTTTAAGGTTTATATTTGTCTTGGAAAAAAAAATCTGTGCTAATAAAGCAATGGTTGCCGTGTCTTTTTCCTCTTTAAATGCAGACTTAGAAGGCTAAATTTGCAGTATAAAATGTAGGACAGATTTTGTGTAGTTTAATGAGTGTATTTTATTAAATAAAATCTATTATTTTTTCTCTAGTGAATTTTAATTGTCCTTTGGAGTCAGCAGATGTCATTGACCAAAATGCATTAAACCAGCAATTGCGATTTTTAAAATTTTATGTTCTATGAAATGTCTTTTAAAGAAATTAAAATACGCATCTGAAATGGCACACCTTAATAATAATATAAGAATTCATGAGCATTAAAAGTGTATATAGCAAGACATGGGCTTGAAGTTAAATAGGCAGATGGGAAAATGATGTGTTACAAGACTCATATACATGATGCTGAAGGGGCAGAACTAGAAATTATATTTTCTTAACTCTCAACTAATTTGTTTTCACTAACTCATCCTGTATGAACATTTATAAAATATTTGGCCAATTACTGTAGCAGTTCTAGATGTTGAAATGCAAAATAAGTATTTATATTTCAGAGTTGGTTTTGAGAATAGCAGAGTGGTTTAGATGTGGGATAGTTGTTTGAGGGTTTTGGGGTGGGGAGGGTGCTGTTTGTTTTACCAAGTGTGTGATACTTATCAGCTCTTGGGGTGAATTAATCAGTAGTGAAGTGTCTGGGTAAGTCCTGTTACTCTGTGAAGTTAATAGGATTAATTATTAATTAATGTTTAGCTATTAAAGGTCCAATAAGTACACATTCAAAATGAGGAATAAAATAAAACAGGTTCATTTTGTGCTTTTAGGATAGTTCTCCAAACTAGTTAATAATTTGCCATGAATGAAGCTGCTCATAATCAAAAGGAAATGAGATACACAGTCATATTGTGTAAAGCACTTGTGTTATAGGACGATTTTCCAAGCTGGAAAAGGATCAGAGCCAAAATCCAAACCCTGAACTATCATGTAAATGAATATTTAATTGTAATCAGAGTTTTTAAGGATTTGTGGGAGAGGTGTCAGTTGGCTACAGCCAAGCAGTTCACGATCACAAGGCAATTCAGGCTTTTGTTTTCCAGGTCGGGTAGGACAGCACCCTTGGTGACACCCTAGATCCTTGATGGCACTAAAAGCCATTGTCCACACTGAGACCTGGCACAGAGTGTTTGTACTGGTGGGGAATTACACACCCAGTTTATTCTTGAATGGGAATGTTGAGGACCATGTGCTCAAACACAGAGCTCTGAGGCAGAGACTCCAGCTTCTGGTCTCTAGTGGATCACCATCCTTATTGATGCATTTGAAAATCCCATTCCAGGCTCTCAAAGACTTGAGAGCAAAAGGGCAACATTTTGCTCTGGTAACATAAATTTGCTAGAAAGGTACCCATATTTAAGGCCCTTCATAACTGTCATGCAGGAGCAAATTTGATATACTGGGCTGATTTTCATAGGTAGTGTTCATGAGAGGAAGGTAAGTCTAGAAGAGGGGATGGGAAATGTATTGGATAGGACAAATCACCCAACCCAGTCATATAAACTGCTGTCTCACCATCATCTAGTGGGCTGCAGGCAGAGAAATTCTGAGAATAAAATAGGTCAAGTATTTCTTAGGCGTTGACAACTGTGCTGCTTTCAAGCTGATTCTGTTTAAAACAACTGATGGAATATCTTAAAGGAACATCTGGAAGTGCCCTCCATGCACGAGTATGGAAGTGAGTTTAGAAATAGTGGGGTGTGGAAAACACACCAATGCTCCTTGCTCAACAACCAGGCAGCTGCTAAACTGAAGCTGCTCTCAAAGAAATTTAGTGCAAAATCTTCAGTTAAGTGCACAAAAAGCAAATAAGTTTCAGGGGGAACATGCTATGTAATTTTAAAATACCTCTTCCTGAATTTTAGGAGCATTCTGTAGGGTGCAGTTAGAAATTCTGGTCTGTGCCCAACTGAAACTCTTGGAATAGTTGGTGTTGTTTATGGGAAACTTATTGCAGAAGGAAGGAAACAACTTGAGGTGGAGGGAGTTGAGAGAAAATGAGAATTAATAAAAACAAATAAACTTCCTATTAACCTGATTGCTGTTATGTTTTTTGTGTTTCAGTTTGCAAGGCATATCAAGAAATCTGAAGGCCAAAAGACACCCAAAGTTGAGTTACAAATCTCAATTTATGGTGTAAAAATTCTCGATCCTAAAACAAAGGTAAGAAACTTACATGGGTTTTTTTCATGCTAAGCTAGTAAATATTTGTTTCACTGGTTTTAAGGCTTTCATTATTTTGTATTTTTTAAGGTATTGCAACAGAAGCCATTATGTTGATGGAAGAAATCTTCCAAAATACCATGTTTTGTTACAATACCTGGGTGACATCTTCCCAGGAAGGCACATGGTAGTCCTGAAGGCACACTGTAGCTTATGTGGCATTCAAATTTTTTAATCCTTTTACAGCAGGACTTTTAAACTTGGAGGAAGATGAAAACAATGAGCTAAATAAATGCTAACACTTCTTATGATAAAAAACCTTTCCATATACGTGTTGGTGATTGAATTTGGTGGATTCTTTTGTTCCTGCTTCTTAATGATGGAATAATTGGTGCATTCAGGTGGTGGCAGTGCCTTTTCTCAAATGGTAGCTGTAGTTCAGTGCTCCAGATGCTTGCAGCCCACTTTTGCTTCAGACTCTTTACACAGCCAGAGCTCAACAGTTCATACATAAGCAGAGGGGACACGAAATATCCATGTCAAGTTTAACTGGAATTTTTTCATCTTCCTTGTGCTGTAGGGCAGACTGGGATGCTTAACCCCATATCCTGGCAAAAACTGTTTCAAAATAACAGTTTGAAATGCCAAAAGATCTTAGCCTTCCTGCAGAGATTAACAGAAAGCTGTGGGATATATGTTCCTGGGGGAGTAGGAACATTCTAATCTCTTACTAATGTTGTTATTACAATTCAAGTAGTAATCAACTGTGAGCAGGCTTTTTATCTCCCCCACTTAGTCTCTTGTAGCTGCATGTAAATTTCAATCGAGTTTTCCTTCTTTTTGCACAGGTTATAAATGCTTTAGGAAATTCAATTTCATGTTATCAGCACTAATTAAAGCCTTTCTTGCAGTGTGTTTTTGAAACAAAGCACTTCAGTATGTTACAGGGATATTGGGTTTTAGTCACACAGTGGCTATTAATGGCAGTAGGAACAAGAAACCAGCTCATATATCAGGACGTGATTCTATACTTGGCATTCAAAAAAAAAAAAAAAAAAGGAATACAGAAAAGTGGTTCTGTCCTTAAATGATATAAAANAAAAAATCTGTCAGGAAGCTATAGATGGAAAAAAGACTGCACTGTATTGTCTTCTACACTGTGGATCATAGATGGGTAGTCTTCCTCTCAGCCCAGTGTGTATCTGGAAAATAAAATACAACCTGTTCCATGGAAGTGTACTTCTGGATTGCTTTTTCCCTACTTTTATGATTATTGAGAGATTGATTTTTGCATATCAGTGGCCTTTTCATCCTTTTCCTCCTCATGACAGCTATTTTTCAGAGGCCATAATTTCAATATGTACACATCAAATGTCCATGAGAGTTTGGACCATAATGGTGACATGAAGGCACTGAAAAAAAAAAAAAAAACACAATGAAAATGGGGCATGTTGGGTTTTTTTTCAGACATGTTTCCTTACAGTGAATGTTGTAATGAAAAATGGAGGAAAAACATCTTCCCCAAGACAGGTTACAGAGATGTTTCCCAGCTTATCCAATGGCCCTGCCCTAAACCAGGGCTCTCTTAAAGTGTGAAGTGCAATGTCTCATTTGTCACTGGTCGCCTGCATTAAATGAAGGAGTTGAACCTCTCTTCCCTGGGATGAAGATTAGCACCCAAATAGCAGGAACATCTCCCTTTTGATGTCTCAACTATTTTTAATTAAATCTTGAATCGTGCAGGGAGGTGTAAATATTAAAGAGAAGCACACAGTTTTGATTGCATGGCTTAAATTGATTTATAGATATATAGAAATAATTAGTCTTAACAATTCTTTAGCTCCAGTTCCTGGCTCTCTTGAAAACATGTTTTTTTTTTTTTCTCATGGCATTTTTGCTGATTGTGGTTTGCTAAGACTTGATGCTTAAACACATCAAATTTAATTTCAATAAGACTCCTAGAGTACGCATTTTCCCCTGCTGCTGGGATGTTACAAAATATATGAGTGGGTTTTTTTATATTTTTAAAGCTAAGTTAAACTGTAGAAAATAGTTTTATTTGTATCTGTTCCTTTTCCTAAAAAAATGCAATGAAAATATAATGTCAATTCTGAAGCAGTTGAACACAAACTAGCCCATCCCACTGAGCTGGACCAAACCTGGGGTTCGTGCCTGAGAAAATTATATGTATAAACTCACAGTTTAAGAATTTGGCCTGTCGTGTCTCTTCCCAATCCATGCTGTGATTCATTATAATTTTATATCATTTTCCATTTTAATGCCAATGGGAGGCTGCAGATTTTTACCTTCTTAAATAATCTTGTTACTGTGTGAGATACAAATATTATTACTTGGTTTTAAATGTGTGCTGATAGGAAGATATAATGTTTGTACATCTCCCAGGTCCAGAGGTCCCTTGGTAGAAGGAGTGACTAGAAATAAATAAGAGAGTAAGTTCCTGATACCTCAGTGGTGGGATGTGCTGTTCAAACCCTGCACGAGTTTTGAGAGGTGGCTGAATGTGGCATTCTGGAAAATGTCAGACATAAAAGAAATTGCTGATCAGTATCTGTGTGTTATCTGTTATTGCACAGGGGCAGGAAAAATACTAAGCAAGGCACTGCTACAGCTTTTCCAAATTAATCTTTGTGTGCTGTTGACTGTACACAGTAAACCTTTGATTAAAAAGCTCATTTGTCTGGATGTCTGTGTGGAAGAGCTTCTTTTGTGATTGGTTTCTTTCACCACTGGCCTGGCTTTGATATTTTATGGAGCTTCTTAAAGTGGGTTTTCCAGCCCTCTGCTAACTTTGGTAAATCTCCTGTGATTTTTTTTTCTCCACTTTTGTCAACATCCTTCTGCATTTGAAACCCTCAGCAGATAACATTTGAGTATTTTCTCACAAGCAGCTGATGCAGTGTGGCCACTGTTGTCATCTTAAGGATTTCTTTGAAATACCTTCCCAGTTGTGGTTTCATGGGAAGGTCGTCAGTTAGTGGAAGTTTTACTATATTATCAAGATTTCATTTTTCCACCCTCACAGGATAGTCTTCCAAGAACCAAAGTTAGTTGCCATGTGTGGGATTTTGCAGGGTTGCTTGTAGGAAAACAGCAGGCTCTGTTGGGATACCAGTCTGTGGTGTTCTGGTTAGTGATGTTCTCTCTGTTATTTACCCCTTCCTCAGTCTTTGTGCTCTGCAAGCTTCTTCTGTAACCATTTTAGATTTCAGATCATTTGTTAGTTTTCTCCCCTTTTTTTCCCCCTTTTATTTTTTCTGCCTGCAGATTTTATCAGTAATTATTTTTCTCCTGGTCATTGTTCAATAATGTCATGCTTAAGAAATAAACCCTGCTGGAATACATTAGAAACATATCTTCCCAATGACAATTTCCTGTTTATAACTACATCTGGAGACTAATGTAACTAACTTAACTCATACTTTCTTTCTATTGCTTCATTTTCTTAAATATAATGGCATACAAAATGCAGATGCTTTGTCTGCTTGGATAAGTTGCATTTTTTGTAAAATATTGGTCATCGTTAATTTAATCTCACTTGAATTATCTAGTTCTTGAACTGGATTTGTGGTTTTTGAGAGTGGAGATGTGGTAGGGTCAGTTTGTTCACCCTTTTTTTAGAATTGGCACAGAACTGCCTTCTGGAACTTCCTCAGTGTTGTAAGTCTTCTTGACTACTTGGAGCAAGCTTTGGTCAGCTGTTCTAAAACTTGTGCAAGTTATTCACATCACTTACTTTAAAATCTTCCTCTTTAAAACTTCTTTTATTTAAAAACTGCAACTTTTTCATGTTGTAGCTGTTGTTTGAGACTCAGATGATTGCTGTTGGAAAATCAGGCATTCCATCACCATTTTCAATACATACTGTGAATTTAATGCAGTAAAATCAAATATTATTTGTGCTTTCTCCTCCCTACTGCACAGAAATACTTGTGCATGGCTTGTATGCAAAGGGACGTTTCCAAAAGGTCAGGATTTGTTCCAGGCTGTTTCAAGCTGAGTTGTGGCCCAGGGTTATCTGTTCCATGGGTGTCTTTCTGGGCACTGGTGGGAATTGAGCTGTCCAAACTGTCCAGGTGATCCTTGGATTTTGTGGTCATTACATTTAAGCTTGCAAAGTGCAGAGTACTGAGAAAAGGGATCACACACGTCCTCCAAGTTCCACCCAATGAAGGGACATCAGGAAATTGCAAATCAGAGAGGAAAGCTGGTGGAGTGCAGCTAATGAATAAATGCATGATCTGAAAATTATCTAAAGACACTTTAAGGTTTATATTTGTCTTGGAAAAAAAAATCTGTGCTAATAAAGCAATGGTTGCCGTGTCTTTTTCCTCTTTAAATGCAGACTTAGAAGGCTAAATTTGCAGTATAAAATGTAGGACAGATTTTGTGTAGTTTAATGAGTGTATTTTATTAAATAAAATCTATTCTTTTTTCTCTAGTGAATTTTAATTGTCCTTTGGAGTCAGCAGATGTCATTGACCAAAATGCATTAAACCAGCAATTGCGATTTTTAAAATTTTATGTTCTATGAAATGTCTTTTAAAGAAATTAAAATACGCATCTGAAATGGCACACCTTAATAATAATATAGGAATTCATGAGCATTAAAAGTGTATATAGCAAGACATGGGCTTGAAGTTAAATAGGCAGATGGGAAAATGATGTGTTACAAGACTCATATACATGATGCTGAAGGGGCAGAACTAGAAATTATATTTTCTTAACTCTCAACTAATTTGTTTTCACTAACTCATCCTGTATGAACATTTATAAAATATTTGGCCAATTACTGTAGCAGTTCTAGATGTTGAAATGCAAAATAAGTATTTATATTTCAGAGTTGGTTTTGAGAATAGCAGAGTGGTTTAGATGTGGGATAGTTGTTTGAGGGTTTTGGGGTGGGGAGGGTGCTGTTTGTTTTACCAAGTGTGTGATACTTATCAGCTCTTGGGGTGAATTAATCAGTAGTGAAGTGTCTGGGTAAGTCCTGTTACTCTGTGAAGTTAATAGGATTAATTATTAATTAATGTTTAGCTATTAAAGGTCCAATAAGTACACATTCAAAATGAGGAATAAAATAAAACAGGTTCATTTTGTGCTTTTAGGATAGTTCTCCAAACTAGTTAATAATTTGCCATGAATGAAGCTGCTCATAATCAAAAGGAAATGAGATACACAGTCATATTGTGTAAAGCACTTGTGTTATAGGACGATTTTCCAAGCTGGAAAAGGATCAGAGCCAAAATCCAAACCCTGAACTATCATGTAAATGAATATTTAATTGTAATCAGAGTTTTTAAGGATTTGTGGGAGAGGTGTCAGTTGGCTACAGCCAAGCAGTTCACGATCACAAGGCAATTCAGGCTTTTGTTTTCCAGGTCGGGTAGGACAGCACCCTTGGTGACACCCTAGATCCTTGATGGCACTAAAAGCCATTGTCCACACTGAGACCTGGCACAGAGTGTTTGTACTGGTGGGGAATTACACACCCAGTTTATTCTTGAATGGGAATGTTGAGGACCATGTGCTCAAACATAGAGCTCTGAGGCAGAGACTCCAGCTTCTGGTCTCTAGTGGATCACCATCCTTATTGATGCATTTGAAAATCCCATTCCAGGCTCTCAAAGACTTGAGAGCAAAAGGGCAACATTTTGCTCTGGTAACATAAATTTGCTAGAAAGGTACCCATATTTAAGGCCCTTCATAACTGTCATGCAGGAGCAAATTTGATATACTGGGCTGATTTTCATAGGTAGTGTTCATGAGAGGAAGGTAAGTCTAGAAGAGGGGATGGGAAATGTATTGGATAGGACAAATCACCCAACCCAGTCATATAAACTGCTGTCTCACCATCATCTAGTGGGCTGCAGGCAGAGAAATTCTGAGAATAAAATAGGTCAAGTATTTCTTAGGCGTTGACAACTGTGCTGCTTTCAAGCTGATTCTGTTTAAAACAACTGATGGAATATCTTAAAGGAACATCTGGAAGTGCCCTCCATGCATGAGTATGGAAGTGAGTTTAGAAATAGTGGGGTGTGGAAAACACACCAATGCTCCTTGCTCAACAACCAGGCAGCTGCTAAACTGAAGCTGCTCTCAAAGAAATTTAGTGCAAAATCTTCAGTTAAGTGCACAAAAAGCAAATAAGTGTCAGGGGGAACATGCTATATAATTTTAAAATACTTCTTCCTGAATTTTAGGAGCATTCTGTAGGGTGCAGTTAGAAATTCTGGTCTGTGCCCAACTGAAACTCTTGGAATAGTTGGTGTTGTTTATGGGAAACTTATTGCAGAAGGAAGGAAACAACTTCAGGTGGAGGGAGTTGAGAGAAAATGAGAATTAATAAAAACAAATAAACTTCCTATTAACCTGATTGCTGTTATGTTTTTTGTGTTTCAGTTTGCAAGGCATATCAAGAAATCTGAAGGCCAAAAGACACCCAAAGTTGAGTTACAAATCTCAATTTATGGTGTAAAAATTCTCGATCCTAAAACAAAGGTAAGAAACTTACATGGGTTTTTTTCATGCTAAGCTAGTAAATATTTGTTTCACTGGTTTTAAGGCTTTCATTATTTTGTATTTTTTAAGGTATTGCAACAGAAGCCATTATGTTGATGGAAGAAATCTTCCAAAATACCATGTTTTGTTACAATACCTGGGTGACATCTTCCCAGGAAGGCACATGGTAGTCCTGAAGGCACACTGTAGCTTATGTGGCATTCAAATTTTTTAATCCTTTTACAGCAGGGCTTTTAAACTTGGAGGAAGATGAAAACAATGAGCTAAATAAATGCTAACACTTCTTATGATAAAAAACCTTTCCATATACGTGTTGGTGATTGAATTTGGTGGATTCTTTTGTTCCTGCTTCTTAATGATGGAATAATTGGTGCATTCAGGTGGTGGCAGTGCCTTTTCTCAAATGGTAGCTGTAGTTCAGTGCTCCAGATGCTTGCAGCCCACTTTTGCTTCAGACTCTTTACACAGCCAGAGCTCAACAGTTCATACATAAGCAGAGGGGACACGAAATATCCATGTCAAGTTTAACTGGAATTTTTTCATCTTCCTTGTGCTGTAGGGCAGACTGGGATGCTTAACCCCATATCCTGGCAAAAACTGTTTCAAAATAACAGTTTGAAATGCCAAAAGATCTTAACCTTCCTGCAGAGATTAACAGAAAGCTGTGGGATATATGTTCCTGGGGGAGTAGGAACATTCTAATCTCTTAGTAATGTTGTTATTACAATTCAAGTAGTAATCAACTGTGAGCAGGCTTTTTATCTCCCCCACTTAGTCTCTTGTAGCTGCATGTAAATTTCAATCGAGTTTTCCTTCTTTTTGCACAGGTTATAAATGCTTTAGGAAATTCAATTTCATGTTATCAGCACTAATTAAAGCCTTTCTTGCAGTGTGTTTTTGAAACAAAGCACTTCAGTATGTTACAGGGATATTGGGTTTTAGTCACACAGTGGCTATTAATGGCAGTAGGAACAAGAAACCAGCTCATATATCAGGACGTGATTCTATACTTGGCATTAAAAAAAAAAAAAAAAAAAGGATTACAGAAAAGTGGTTCTGTCCTTAAATGATATAAAATAATTATATGGATCTGTAATCCTCATAGTGCCAGGGCAAGCACAAGTTATTATTTCTGTATGTTAAAGAGCTGCCACAGGACAGAGATGTGGGACAGGAGAGAAATAGAATACTCAGTCAGAACAGCTGTAAAGACTGAGAAAATGAACTCACTTGGGGCAAGGGGAAAAGATTGCCTATAGGGTGCATTTTTTGGCTATGTGGTTGTGTGCAGAGAGGGCATGGCCTTGTTTATGGCCTTACAGAAAGCTGGGAACCCCAGTGCAGCACAGAGACTTTCTTTTTTTTTAACAGATAATAGTTCACATCTAGACGACATATTTTCCTTTAAAGCAAATACTGCTTTCCCATGTAATAAGCCAAATAAAATAAAATACCAAGAAGAGACTTGTTGAAAAAAAACAACAAAAAAATAGTCAAGATAGTTTAATTCACTCTTGTCAAATTCTTGCAGCTGAAGAGCATTGCCACTGCAACTTTTAAAATAGCTGGAACTTGTTTTTTAATGGAAAACTAAATACTGTAGCAAAAATATACAAATATTGCTTAAAAGCTGCTTAGGTGGCACCTCAAGCAAACAAGTATTTGCATGTCAGATTTATTTCTCTTTATTTGGTTAGCAAAGTCATTTTATTTCTGTTTTCTATATTTAATGTAGCAAAGTAAGGACTCATTTCAGTAAATCCATTTTAACAAACCTTGGGAGATGATGAAATTTAAAGATGTTGTGCACCTGGGAAAAGAACAGATTATTTTACGTAATCAGGCCTTAAATAAATTGCAGAGGGATGCAAGGCAACAGTAAAATCAATTTTCTAGAAGAGAAATTACTGTCCAAATAACCACTTCCAGATAAATGCTGTCCAAATAACAACTTCCTGTTTACATTCAGTAGAAACAGGAGTGTTTTTTCAGAGATGAGTTTGCTAACTTCTGTTTCACTCAAGGTCCATTTTTTGGAGCTCTCACATTATAATAAGAGACATTCAAAAACACTACTGCAGCTTGCCTGCTCTCATGAGGAAATCCAGAGCTTTCCTTTGTGTATCTTTATCCTAAGCGAATGCAGTAATTTCTTAAAAATTACCTTTCTGTTTGTCTGCAGGAGGTCCAGCACAACTGTCAGCTCCACAGGATATCCTTTTGTGCTGATGACAAAACTGACAAGAGAATATTTACTTTCATATGCAAAGACTCAGAATCAAATAAGCACCTGTGCTATGTGTTTGACAGTGAAAAGTGTGTAAGTACACGGGACGCCCTGCAGGGCTTGAGGTCGCTGTGCTGCCTTGAAACGAGGTGGGAATGGTTAATAATGAACAGCCTGCCTTGTAGTGACACTCGATTTTTCATGCCAGTATAGTGTCTTGCAACTTAGATCCGTTAAATTAAGGAAAGTCTTCAGTGATCTGAGGTGGTTTTTCTGGGATTTCTCTTACTGCCCAGCTCAACATCCTGGGGGAAGCATCTGCAGTACTCTCAGAGAACAGGCTCCATCCCACCAGGCTTGAGATGTTTGCAAAGTTTACTGCAGCTCCAGGGCTGAGATACCCTTGCAGGCTTTTCTGCTGATGTGTTTCTCTCTGGTTTTAGCGTTGGGGTTTTTGCGTGTAGTTTGTTTTTTGGGTTTTTTTTTTAATTATTTTATCACAGCAAGGTTCTCCCTTCTTTGTCCACCCCTTTCCCTGCCACATCTCTCAAGTTTAACACCACAAAGCACTCCCAGACAGCTCATTGCACCAAGCACTGATATTCTCTGGTGTCTGAGACAGAACAGTTATTCCTTCCTGTATTTGCTTGCTCTGCTAAAGTTCTAAGCAAGTGGTGTATCCATATGTTCACCTTTTATTGGTCCTGCTTTGGCATCACTTGTTTCTGAAACCTTGGTGTCCTACATCAGCTTCCTGTAGGCTTATTTTTACTCCCACCATTTTTGATATAGATATTCTGCCTTGACTGTATAAACACATCATAAAATAGGATATGAAGCAGCATAGAACTAGTAAATTGTTATACTTTGCACATACAAATGCAATTTCTGTGGATTTTTATTTTTCTGGATATGTGTAGTTGGAAATAATTGGGCAAATAAATACTTGTCTACAGTATCCTGAGTGAGCTTTTATAGTACTCACAAAAATAAGTGTTGAAATCCAGATTTAAAATCAGTAGTGGGGTCAAAAAATCCATTGACATGAAAACATTTCATTAATCTAAAAGGGCTTATTTAATAATTGAACAGCTGTATTTGCTTCAGAAATCGTCAGGAGAAGCCATGGTGCAGTATGGTATCTGTGTTTATGGAAACTGAAGACGTAATTTGTACTGTCCAGTCTCCTTTCTTTATCCAAAGCTTTTTTACATTCTTTCATAGCATTTTGCCAAGGTGTTTTGCTGAAGGGTGCCTGTCATGCTCCTTTGTAGTTTTGGTTTCATGGTGGATGGGGCAAAGCCTTTGGGTATGATACATGGTATAAAGCATTTTGTGATCTTCTGAAATGAAAGGAGCTCCAGCAAATATTCCTAATTTACTAATTTCAGTTTTATGTTTTATGTAAAGGCAGAAGAGATAACTTTAACAATTGGTCAAGCATTTGACTTAGCTTACAGGAAATTTCTGGAATCCGGAGGAAAAGATGTTGAAACACGGAAACAAATTGCAGGTTTACAGAAAAGAGTAAGTTCTGAGTTCTTCTATTTTAAGAGATAAAAGTACATGCTGCTGTATTTGTATTATCTGCTTTTTATGGAAGCATAGTTTCCAGCATTATTCTCAGATTGATAAGGTGGAAAAAAAAACCTGGGAAAAAAAGTGTTTAAAATATTTTATTTTGCTGTCCTGCAAGGACACTAAAAAGCAAGGTAGAAATATGGAGGATACTGAAATTTAATTATGTTTTGTAGTCAGATAGTGAGTTAAACCTTGATTCTAAATCACCAGATCTCTGATGAAACTTATGCTCAGTGGATGCTGTTGTTGAAATCCATGACTATCCCAATAGCTGTTGAATAACCACTTGCTTTTTAGATTCAAGAATTAGAAACCGAAAATGCAGAACTGAAAAATAAAGTTCAAGATTTGGAAAACCAGTTAAGAATAACACAAGTACACGCATCTCCAGTAAGTACATGACATAACTCCTGTGTCTGAAGTCACTCTGTATTTATAATCACCTTATGATCATGACGAGCATCCCTGCTGTTCCCAGAGATTGCCATTAACGTGCAGTGATCGTGTAACGTGTTGAAGGGCAGTGTTGAGCTAACAGTGACATTGTGACGAGCCAGCAGAAGTGCACATTGCAGCCTGTGCAGCTGTGGCCCTTCCATACCTATTTGTTGCTGCCCAAGGACAGTAAATGCTCACTGGAGCAGGATGTGCCAGCTGAGGGTGAGAAGCCATTCTGCACTGAACGGAGCTGGCTCCTGAGCACTGCCTGGGGGCTTTGTCACAAGCACATGGTCACCTGTGACATGCTCACAGCCTGCCTGCCAAGGGCTTGGGAGCTGCTGCTGGGCTGGAGGGAAAGAGGAGCAAGCGTGGGTTCCTCCCTGGAAATCCTGACTGCCCTGCAGTTCCTGTAGGTGGGGACAGATGAGGACAGAATTTTAAATTTTAAATGTTTAAATTGCTGGCTGGCACTTCCTGACACCCAGGCAGGACCTGTGAAGGTGCAGGTTGCAATGCAGACTGGTCCTAATGACTCCCCTCTTCTTACAGGTGTGTTCCATCTGTACAGCTTTAGGCAGCTGTGAAAATAAATCTGATTTCTTAATCTATGTGTGGCAAAATCTTGGAACAAGAGGAACTGCTTTTCAGCTGTGCATTTTGGACTGCCTTGTTCCTGCCCTGAATGTTCACCATTTCCCCTTAAATGGATGCTCAGAACTGTGGGCAGTGTAAAAGCATATTTGCAGTGGTGCTGGCAGTTTCTCAGTAGTGTCTGTACATTCTTTATGTTGATCAGATGGTTGTTCCCATGAGGGACTGCCATTTCATTTTACTGAAATCTACTTAGAGGAGCGAGCACCATAAATTATAAATACTGTGTAACCACAACAATGAACATCTTAAATTATGAATGTCTTCTCACTTATGAAGCATTCAGTGATAGGTAATCAATTTTAACCTAGATTTAATATCACGTTAGTCAATTTTTTTATCTTTTATTGTCCTCAATCAGGGTGGCAGTTTGTTTTTATTCATAAATATAATAACTAAACGTTTATTTAAATGCAAATAAATTGGCTCTTAAATCCATTGCAATCAATTATTTTCTTTAAAATTAAAGAACTTTTCATTTCATTCAGCAAAAAAAATAAGGAAAATTATTAATAATGCTCCAAAAATATCCAGTAGTTTGTGATTTAGTGTGTTTTTAAGACAATGATGTTGCATTTCATATTAAAGAGTTAAGATCTAATTTTTTAATTTGCTGGCCATTTGTAAACTCTCCCTAGGTGGTGCTTTATTGTTAATTACTATTGGTACAGTGAATAAGCATATTGCTTAAACAGCAGTTGTGCTGCAACAAAACTTTAGAATATTGATAATTATTGATATTAATTCATTTAAATAATCACCGTTGGCTATTAATTTGCACTTTTATTTTATTGCTTTATGTACTCCTTTAAAATGAAAGCCTCAAACATTTCCTTTCACAAATGTTTAAAATTGCAGTAAGAGCCACCTAAGAGCCTGTTCAACATCTGCATCCATTCTGACACAAAAGATTTCTATAAGTGGATGAGTGTTGGAACAGGATGCCCAGAAGTTGGAGCTCTCTGTACTCTTGGAGATGCTGGATCTTCCCTGGGCATGGTCCTCAACAGCCTCAGCTAATTGGATCCTGCTTCAAGCAGGAGTTTGGATTAAGCTCCTTTCCTTTTTCAGGATTCTTCCATCACTTGTGCAGCCAGAAATGAAAAGGAAACAAAACCAAGACACCAACCAACCAAAACCAAGCATGTTTTTAGGAGCAGGTCTTTCTCAGCTCCAGCCCAACAGCAGTTCCCACCAAGCACTACTGACTTTGGCACCCTACCAAGAGGCAGCTTTCAGGCAGTCCTTTCTGAACCAGATCTTGTGCAGATGGTAAATCAGAGCTCTCAAATGTGCTGGTGTAGGAATGACTCCATGTCAATGCAACTGCTGGGTTGAGAAAGAATGAAGGAGTGGGCTGGTGACATTGTCAAGTGACTTCAGTGCAGACAAAAAGAAGCATAAATATTTTTAGGGCAGTTTGAGTCCATTAAAAGGATTATCAGTCACTGTGCCTGGAAGAGCAGTGAATGTGATGAGACCTATCTCCTTTTCCACTACATAGCAACAAATATGTATGAAGGAACAAAACTACAATGGATTGCCTCTTGTAGTTTGCAATTAATTTTTTTCACTTTTCATTCAAATCAGCTGCAATTTCAAGTATGATTCTGCAAAGTCTCAATTCCTATCAGTAAAAAGAAGTGGTGCAATTTTTTTCCCCCTATTTCCACATAATTTCTGTAATGAAAAACTTTAGTTTTTAAACTAAATAATTGGAGATTTTTTTTTTATTTGAACTAAAAATGTCTGTACTGCTGCTGCTCTGTCTTCAAAATTAAAGTAACAGATCTATATTGTGATTTTTTTTGTCAGACTAAACTTTTCAGATCTGCTCATAGTATTTTCTGAAATAAAATAGCTTAAATTAAGCTGAATATCCAACATGTAGAATAATACCTTCTTTGTGCCTCTTTCTAAGCACTTTTGGGTGGGTGGGGGAAGCTTCCTTCCATACAGATAGTCTTGGTATTACATGCTGTGAATGTAAGATGACCACTCTTGTGATTTAGAAGAGATTTATTAAACTATAAGTTTTAAGTTCTCTTGCGTTTTTCATATCACACTGTTGAATTATGCAGAGATGCCAGTGCCATACAACAGCTTTCTGAAGCTTTTCTTAAACATAATAAGCATTTTGATTTATTTCTATTTTTTTTTTATTTTTTTTTACATCTGGAGCCCCTTATCTGGCAGTCCAGCTCTTCTGCATGCTGAGGTGTAGGGAAGGGATTGTTCAGTGGTCAATGGAAAATTGAAGCCTTTATCCTTGACACCTAACGTGATAAAAGAATGTGTGCCTTTAACTGGCATCACAGCTGTTTGTCAAGAAATGCTGAGTTTCAGAAGCCAGCTACAGATGGTTAAAAGTTGCTTCTGTTTGTGCTTAAACAGTACCTTGGATTTTCATACCTTGTGCTTTCCTTTTCGTGTTTGGTTGTTTGCATGCTGTTTGTGCTCTCTCAGCGTTGGCAGATGTGCTCGAGTGGCTTGCCTGTCATACAGGAGGTGGCTGTGACCAGTGCATGGCCACAGCAGCCCCTGGCAGGCAGCAGCTGATGTGGGACTGCAGCAGCAATGGGATTAAACAAGGATGTCCTTCCCAGAGCAGAGAGTGCTGCAGGGACTTGTGCTCAAACCATAGAACCACTGACATCACTCTGGGCTGTGTCCTCTTCTCCATCAGAGCCCATCCCAGGGACCCAGGGCAGGCACAGTGCCAGCTGGCAATGGGAAGGTGTTTTCCATCCCCAGGAGAGGAGCCTGAGGGGCTTTTAGGATTGATTGCCCCTGTAGTGTGACACAGCGCTGTGACAGACAGCACATGGTGTCCCTGGCATGCTTTATCTGTCAAGATACTGGTCCAGGACAGAATGCCTTTCCCACCTGGCAGTAACTGGGATGCCATGGTAGCGTTTGCATGCAGTGCCAGTCTGTAATTTCTGCTTCTGCATTGATTTCTGTGTCTTTCATCATTCTAGACACATTAGTCTTCCCGTTAGCTTTTAATGAAATGAAGAAGGAGAAGACACTTTGGGAAATTTGAAGTGCAGCAGGTTTTTTTTGTATTATATCACTCACCCTTGACATAGTTGGTTGTTTGTGTGGTTTGGAGTGTTTTTGTTTTATTTTTTTAAAGCCAGACAGTTCTTTCTGACAGCTCAGTCTTCTGATTCCCAGATCATTTTCCCACAAGCAGGACCAGGTTACATTTCCTGTTTTCACTTCAGTATCAAAAGAAAATAGAACGTGAGAACATCTTTAACCTGTGGATGGATAACTAAATATGTGTATCGTTTTAAGCATCTGGTTCACTGCATATTTAATAAAAATAGTTTCAAAGTGTTTCAGTTCTAAGTAGCTTCATCCAGGCTGCCATTTGAAATAAACGTTTCTAACTTCCTGTTGTCACTGAAAATAGGTTTGTAGCTAAATATGAAATAAAACCATTTGCTCAGGATCAAATGTAATACTATGAAGACTTAAATTTCAGATCCTCTAACGTTTTTAAAACATTTTTTTTTGTAGTTTCACAAACTGTAGACAAAATGTGATGTGCCGGGCTGGACTGCAATATGTGACTTTGCTGTCAGATTTACTTCTCTAAAAGGAGTTGACCCTGTGCTCACCTATTGAATTGTTGGGTACCAGTGTTGAATGCTTCCTTTGCAAAACATAATACTAAAACACCTAAATTTTCTGATCCTTCACATCAAAATGTAAAATTTTGTGATGACTTATCCAAAAATCCATGTGTGGTCTAACTAAGAGAAAAAAATGGAAGCAGTGAGTTGTAAGCTTAAAGCTTCATTTTAAGCACAGAATCAAAAATATTTTAAGTTGATGATTTCATAGCAGAGAACATTTTTCTAGCTGAAATATCTGTTACTTATTGTTTTAATTAAATTATGTTTTAAGTTAGAACAGTGAATTGGAGTATTGGGAGTTTTTTGTGAGTCCTCAGTTGCTCTATTAAAAAAAAAATCTGAAACAAACAAACAAAAAAGCAAAAACACCAAAACAAACAAACAAAAAAACCCACATGCATATGGAAATTGCAACTATTGGAATAATTTAAAAATTTAGGGATGACTTTTCTATATCCAGTTTATAAGTAGTGCAAGTTAAAGGCTTGTTTGGGATGTGTAAAGGGAAATTCAGTCTAAAACTGCTTTTCTGATGATTCTTGCATGTATTGCAGGTTTTTTTGCAGGCCAACTAAGGGTTTATTTGAGGACATATTTTAAAATAATACTGACAGACAGAGTGAAATGGGTGAAAAATACATATGTGAATAA